GATCTGTAATCTGTAGGCGAGTACATTTTAAAAGTCACCTTCCCAACACTGAATGTCACACTGTGGAACATTCCAGGCAGAGCAATGATGTATCCATAGAAACAAGCAAGTGACGGACCCCAACCAGAAGAATTACACTGTGCACCTTTAACACGTTGTTTTGGCGAAGACACACGGCTCTTGTAGTTGCTGTAGTTCATATTTCCGTCGAACTTCAAATGTTAATACTGGACATGTTTAAAAAGTGCACCGGGGACTACATCTTGAGTAATTAATTGCACAAACGGTTGGCTTTACTTTTAAATTACATTTCCAAAACCGTCCTGCCCTAGTTTCACACTTGGCTTCTTGTGTCCGATTTCGTAATTCCAGCGCCGAACTTTTTTGGGGGGGAAAAAAGTTGAGAAATAATTGAAACCCTACTTTTCATTAGAGTCTCGGCGTGTGTCTTTTGATCTCAGCACGCTCTCCTCTGCCTCTTAGCTGATGGTGCGTGCACGGAGTCGTCTTAGCGTTAGCATTAGCATTAGCCTGCTCAAACACAACAATGAGAACGCTCCTCCGTGTTTTTACTCCACTTCTCCACAGAGCTGTATTTAGGGCACCCCCCGCTGGCCTCTTTCTTCAGTCTTCGCGCTCTTCTCTCCTCTGCTCTCCAAAATCTGTCTTTTCGGGGGTTTTTTAATATTTTTTTTTGTGCTGGTGCCACCGGAGCAGTGCGAGGCCACAGCTGAAAGTGTGAGACAAGAATCCAGCTCCGTCTCAGCGGGAGGAAGCCGATTATGGGGCCGCAAATAGGGACAGTTTTTTTTTTGCCAGATCTGGACAAGCGTGCGGCGTTCATGTGGGTTTGTAAAGGGGGGTGTGGAGAGGGAGCTGTTGGTTGTGTTGAGATGACATTAGAAACAGAAGTTAGATTTAGCGAATGGAGAAACATGTATGGCCTGTGAGAGAATATGGAAGCTTTGGAAGACTTTTCCGGTGGAGGGTTCATTTAGGGCTGGGCGATATGGAGCAAAAAATATATCTCAATGTATTTTGCCATATCTCTATCTATACAGGAAATATAAACCCCCCAAATTCCACAAGGTCTTTTTTTATTGAAGTGCAAAGAGGCAGTTCATGTAGGAACAAAGTGCTTCTGCCACATAAAAACAAAATCCCTATATACTAGGGATGTAACAATAACTTAAATATCGTGATATTGTATCATCAAGTTCTCACAATAATATTGTGGACTGTCACAATATATCAAATTACAAGTCTCTTTGTTTAAATGAAGCATTACAGTGCAGCAATAGCTCAAAAAAAGACAGAGGGAACTACATAGACCATGATCCTTTGCTCCATTTCAGTGCAGACTACAAGAAGAAATAACAGTTCTAAGCGAAAAAAGTAGCATATTCAGAGTTTTGTTTGCCTCTGTTGTGGGAAAATGATATATCTCTTGAAGATAAATAATGAATTCATTTGCGAAGCCCAATGACTTTTTGGAATATAGACCAAAGTTTATTCTTGTTACAGCAGATATGGACAGAGCCTAGTCCTGCCCTGGCCAGAGCCCAACAGCCTCTCTCCACCAGCAGGATGTCCCTACCACATCTTGCCCCATCTTCCAAGTATCTGCCCAGTATCTGCCCAGTATCTGCCCAGTATCTGCCCAGTATCTGCCCCAGAGCATAACTTGAGTATTTATACAGTATTTATACAAGTTACATATATATCAAAGCAGAGTGACTTTGGTTTCAGAGGCTGGTGCTAAATGAACATACAGTTGAGGACAACAAAGGGCTTCCTGAAGGAGGAGACAGTTGTGTCTGATGAACCTTTACACATGTTCATGACTGCTCTGAGTTTCAGGTAGAAATCACATTCATTTACACAAAGATAGATTGAAAGAAATCTTTCCACAATCTAAATTTCAATCACACCTCCACCAAATATAGCAATAAATATCATACCGTGAGGTGTATATCGTAAAAATATCGTACTGAGAGATTTGGATATTGTTACATCCCTAATCGTGAGCTTTCCCGCGATATCACAATAAATATGGTACTGTGAGGTTCATATCGTGAGACTTGGATATTATTTTACACTCCTACTGTATACAAAAATAATAATTTTATTGTAAAATAAAGGAAAAAATAATACATATTGCCTTCTTTTCATTCAAAAGATAATGTTACTTGTCAAGTGAAATTTACTCAAATAATGATGAAACTTTGTTAATTCAAGTCATCTTAACTTGGCTAGATTTTAGTTTTTGCAGTGCAGCTCCTTTTTATTTTTACTTCAGTAGAGATCAACATTTCCAAGGCTAAAATGATCCAGATGATTCCAGTGATAGTGCATGGAATTTAAAAACACAGTGGAGCCTTTCCTGTATTGCCACATGAAACAAAACACAACTCCAGTTTGTGATAAAGAAACATTATAACATACAGTAGCTCAGAAAACAGTAATAATAATGGCCCTTTAACCTAGCCAGTCTGGCGCCACCTAGTGCCTCCACTCAATTTAATTTCTCTCCAGCGACTAGCTCAGGAATCAAAATACACTAGACTGTTTGCAAGAACCCCGGAAATGCAAATTTGGGCATCAGCCAATCAGTGAAGAACCAGACATTCTGTGTTGGCAACGATTCCCGAGATCGAGGATTTAAAGCCGGAACAAAGAGAATGTTTGGTGAATTTCATCAAGGGGAAAGACGTTATTGTCCTTCTTCCTACGGGATTTGGGAAAAGTTTAATATACCAGTTAGCCCAGTTAGCGGTGCATTACATATGTGATGACCAAATAGCAGTGATTGGTTAAATTTAAAAAAAGTACCCACCTACTGTCGAGCGAATGAATCCTAATGCTGTGAGGTCAGACGGTTTCTATGAAGTGAAATCAGGCTATTTTTAAGCATCTTCACATCACCTTAAGCAACTGTATGAGTGTCTATGGTTATAACATTAGGCCAACTGAAAATCCTACATGACATGTGTATGACGACACAATCCTGATCTCTGTCAAGAATACTTTTGTCTGTGTAGAGATAGTAGTAAACCAGACCAGCTATAGAGCGTGCTTGTTTTGTCTTCTTACATTTCTACACAAAATGTAGTTTACTCACTACAAAGGTTTAATCACCCTTTAAGTGTATTAGACCAACATTCTTTATACAAAAAAGGCAGAAATCCGTGATTTGGAGACTCCTAATGCCAGTCGAAGAGTCATGAATCCCATAGGTTGTCTTATGTTGTTGTATTATTGCTACTGCTCCAAAGAAAGAAAGAAAATCCAGCTCATTTTTGTCCTGTCTGTAGTCTACTCCCCACTGTATTCTCACACTCCATTAGAGCTAGTGCAACCGCAGCTCCTTCTCTTCACACAAGCTATTTATAGCTGTGCTGGAGAAGGTAGAAGGTGCTGGAGAAGTGGATTAACGGGATCACTGGGCTCTGACTGGAATCAAGTTTGTTTGGGGCTCAGATGAACGGCCCTGGTCCTCGGGGAGGCAGGACTGCACACTAACACTGAGGCCGGGCTGTCTGAGCCGCTCCTGGATTGTGATGGTGATTCTCTGTACAGTCGTCAGTACAGTTGCGTGTCTACCTGACTACAGGAGACACTGTTGCCCTGGTAACAGGCAGAGGATGTCAAGTCACTCGACTTTAGTGCTGCTGCATGAAAGAGCTCCTCAGAGGCTGTGGGTTTCACATGTAGGAGATGAATCGCTCAAACACAAGACTAGAATACAGTTAGTTTAGCATTAGACCAGGTGGTGTAAGGTCAGGTCGATCTAACTGTCTCAAACTGACCCCTCCTTCAGCGTCTCTGGGATTCGACCTGTCTGGAGCAGTGGGGCCCATCTTTAGGTCTTCAACCATGATGAAACCATGATTTCATCCATGAGAAACCTTTGGGCTGTTCAGTCCATCACAACTGAATAAAAAATACAATTTGAATGATCTCAGTTGTCAACTCACAAAGGCTGCAGTTAATAATTGAAAATAAAACAGTGTGCTCTGGAAAAAATATAGCATCATGTAATTGTTTTGATAGAAACTGTCCAGAATAGACAAACAGGAAAACGTGAAATGTGATTCTTGGCACAGAACCTCCAGAATTCCCTCCCAGAGGCTGCACTAGCACTGATTCCTGACTGACTGTAGGTGCTGGGGTTTAGGGAGTGACCGTTCACATCAGAGACAGTCCAGTTGGTTTAAGTACTGGAGTCACTCATCCACCGGAGAAAAACAATAAATTATAAGTAAAACAACCTGAGCATCATGTCCAGTGTATTCAAATAAAATCTAATAAAAATCAAATAAAGCTGTATTTGATTTGCACATGTCTGCATCATATCTGGGGACAGTCAGGTCACGTTTGCAGAATTTCAATTCAGAATCTTCCAAATGGTTCCTTTGATGCTCTGCCTCCTGGACGTGTTTGAGATGTGATCTGTGGGCCACATGTGCTGTACTGTTGCACTGTTGCACTAACTGGAAGATTAGCCAGACATTTTTTAGCAATTTCTGCCTAACTGTATAACTAATATCTTATTTAGGCTGACATCTCACAAACCCCCATGGATTTAGACTTCAGAAGCCTGTTCACTTACAGACTGGTGAATAGAGTGCGTGCTATTAGTATTAAGTAGTATCTTATATTGACTGTCTCATCAAACTGCAGCCAGCTCTGCTCCTGTTTGTGTTGACTCAGCTGTCACAAACAGTATATGAGTGTGTAAATACAGCCCTTTGGCCCCAACCATCTGTGCCTCATTAAAAACTGCCAACAAACTCAAATCCAACTTCTCCCCTGTGAGACTCTTTCATTTGAGCTCAAATTTGTAAAGTTGAAGTGTTGCATCTGTTTCAGAGACTTAGTGGAAGTGGGCAGAGAAAGCAGAGAGGCTTTGTCACTTTCTTTAGAACTGAACAGGCATTTTAAACAGTCTTATGCGCTAAGAGGATGAAACATGTCTTACTTTTCTCTCTCTCCCACAGCCCCAGAGCTGCCCATTGTGGAGAGGAGGAACTGGCTTATCCATCAGCATTACATCCGCAAGGACTATGAGACTTGTAAGGTAAGGCCACACGTCCTGGTCAGCCCGCTCTCATCACGTCTCAGCGGCTCAGCGGGGCCGGGCCTGTTAGTACTTGGATGGAAGACCGCTGGGAGTACCAGGTGCCACAGTGGGGCGCCAGTGTCAAAAACTATTATGTTTTTAGACAAGACACTTCCCCCACAGTGCCTAGTGTGAATGTGGCACAGACCGGCAGCCTCACTTCCATCTGGTTACAGTAGTAGTGAATGAATAAAAGAGAATGAATAATGCACAATATTGTAAAGAGACTTTCGTGCATATAAATTCACTGGATAAAATTAATGCAATGTTATTAAAGGTCCCATATTACACAAAATGAACTCTTTAAGCCTTGTGATAATGTTGTTATGTGATGTCATGTAGTGGTAGTTCTCAAGTTAACAGCCCCTTTTACCTTTTCTTCAGTAGAAATTGCCAATTTCTTTTGAAGTAATTCAAATGATTCTAGTGAAGGTGTGTGGACTTTTAAAACACAGTGTTTTCTATTTGAGAAAAGAACAATGCCTCAATATACATTGTAAAACATTATAACATAGATCAGAAAATTGCACAATAAGCTTTAAAGAATGGCTTTTGTGGTTAGTTAAAAACAGGTAATATAAGTTGGTAACATCAGTTTAAATGTACATCCTAATATTTTCAATACTGTTTTTTTCTCTACAGACCATCATCAAAGAGCAGCTACAAGAAACCAATGGAATGTGTGAATATGCCATCTATGTACAAGGTAAACCTCGACAACTTAACTATTACTCATCTGAAAACACTGGATCTGATTTTTACTCTTAAGAACTTAAAAACACAACTAGTGCATTTTAAATGGTTTACACTGGTCCAAAGTTATTCCTCATTTTGTTAACGTATCTTAACATTGTACTTATATTTGCACTGGGGCAAAACCTATTCTGTTCAACTACAAACTCTTTGTCTCCATGGAGACTTAGTGTTGTGCCTGCCAGGCACAAGACTAAAGCACTGCCTGGAATATTCCACAGTGCAGGATTACACCTATCTATCCTGCATTTATTAAGTTACATGTCTTTTTAAATTTTCTATCCACAGATCTAACCTGTAACTTTGCTTGGCAGCGTCACCTGGGTACAACCTGGGGATGTCTGGTAATTTGCAAATTAATGCTCCACCTCTGTGTTACTTGCAGCGCATTCGCACGGGATAAACAACGTCTGTAAATTACTGTTTTACTGACATTGACACTAGAGGTGTGCAAAAATATCGAAATATTGATATACCGTATTATTTAATGTGATGATGCAGGATCAATACCGTGGGCTGCTGTATCGATAAATCGCCAAGAGTATTTTTTGGTATATTTTACTAAATTATTTTGTTACAGTTTTGTTGCGTGTTCAGAGGAAGGAAACTTTTTTATGCGACACATTTGACATTTTCCCTGTTTTGATGATGAAAATGTGTGTTTCACATGAACTTTGCACAAGAAGTGGTTTAACAAAGATTTTTAGTATTGCAGCCATTATTTAGCCTTTATTTTTTATTGAACGATATCAGATAAATTTGAAATATATTTTATTGAACCGAAAGCTCACTGTATCAAGATATGTATCGCATCATGGCCTATGTATCGTGGTATGTATCATATTGGCAAGTTCACACGGGATTAGTATGACCTGTGGACCTTTGGTGATTTGTAATAATTGTAGAGAATCCATGTATCATTCGTTCATTCTTTAAAAAAATAAAAATAAAAAAATTCTTCATTATTTGTCTCCAAAACCAAAATGAAAAAACAGATAACGATTCGTTTTTTCAGTTTTCGATTTTGTGTTTAAATGAATAATTGAAAAAAATTGATATCGGCTGTTTACGTGACTTCCGTGACTGAGATGCCGGACTGAACCAGGACTGAACCGGGACCAGACCGTGACTGAGACCAGGACCGAGACCAGGACCACACTGGGACTGAGACCGGGACCAGATCAGGACCAGACCAGGATTGAAACCGGAACAAGACTGGGATCAGACCAGGACTGAGACCAGAACCAGACCGGGACTGAGAGCAGGACTGAGACTGGGACTAGTCCTGGTTTAGTCCCGTTTTAGTCCTGATTCAGTCTGACATCACAGTTTAAAGGTTGTATGGAGGATTTTTTTTGTTTCAAGTTGTCAATGATAGCATTATAGAGGTGCAGTAGCCTTGTAATTATGATGACCAAAAAAAAGAGAATAAAAATTCATCAACTCTGGACGTGGTGGGGCTAAACATTTGCCAATAGATAACGACATTGCCTCGTTATCTGTTAGCTGACAGGCTGTCAATCAATCTCCCTACGTTTCTAGCGTAACTGACTTGCCTGCGCCGCCGGTACGTGGTTTACGTACGACTGTCACGCAGTCCACAGACGCAAGACGCACAGACGCTGTTTACTCCACCAACGCAACAGTTCTTAGCGGCTTTTTTTGACCTATATCTTCCTCGCAGTTCGCACAAAGTTTGTTGCAATGGCAACAACAATCCAGGAGCAGTTCGCCGCAAAAGAAAGTCCGTTTTTGAGATTGCTGAAAGAAGAAGACAAGGGGAAAAGCAGCGAAGCCAAACTAAGGTGATTCTTGTAGATTCATTCCAGCGATGGCGCAACTGAAGCAGACGCAGGGTCTAAAGACTGACGCATTGGTCGCCAAATTACTCCTGGACAGGTCACTTCTGCTTATTATGAAAACGTACTTTATTTCCAAGAGCTAGTCAAACGTTTTTCAGGACACGAATGTGATATCCTATGTCTGAAAACGTAATTTTCAAGGCAAAGAAAGAGTCCGCTTGCTGCTGCGTGTTGTAACTAGTTCATTCGCACTGAATCTCCGCGAAACCTTCTCTGCTCCCCTTTCCTGCTCCTGTCCCCGCTGCCCGTTCCGCTCTTCCCCCGCTCCTCACTTCTCCGGGCTCGGAATCTCCGCGCACCGCTCCTCTCTCCCCTCTCTCCTCTCTCCTCTCCCTGCTCCCTGCTCCGCTCTTCTCCCTGCTCCTCACTTCTCGTCCGCGCACGAAATGTCCGCGCCCCCCCCTCCCCCCGCTCCTCACTTCTCCGTCTTGCCTAACCAACACTGTAGTTAGTTGTTTACAAGTCATGTGCAGCTCACCGGCTGTAAACAAACCTGTTTCTGGCGTAAGGAGGAGGCGGGAGGAGGCGTTTCTACGTAGGAGCTGTAGGGGAGGGGGGGGGTTTCACGCATGTGCAACATTTGAAAAAGGACAAACAGTCGCTGGATTTCTCCTTCCTTGGAAAATCCTCTATACAACCTTTAAGTCACGTAAACAGGAAGCGGCCGTTATCCATTTTTTTTCCATTATCGTTTAAACACAAAATCAAAAACTGAAAAAACTAATCGTTATCTGTTTTTTTTTTCATTTTGGTTTTGGAGACAAATAATGAAGAAAATAGTTGTTTTGTTTTCTAACTTTTACACAGGATTAAGATCTCAGGCATCCTCTACAATCTGTGTGTATCATTCGTTCATTCGTTTTTCAATATAAAACCAAATGTGCCATGTCTCTAATTTGTAAAGTAAAAAGCCACAAATGACCTACTATATTTCACCAAACACAGACGTCCGGTGGTTATTGTTGTAATTGCACCTTTTCTGTCTCTTTCTTTTTCTCTTTCCGAGTTCTTTTCTCTTTCAATCTCAGTCAGTGTCAGTAAAATAGAGTAATTTATGGACTTTACTTATCCTGTGCGAATGCTCTGCAAGTAACACAGAGGTGGGGAGGTAATTTGCAAATTACCAGACGTCCCCAGGTTGTATTTATCTCGTGAGAATAGAACTTTAGACAGCTCTTTCTGGTCAGACTGTGTTAAAACAGATCTCAAATTAAAATCTAAGAGCAGTGCCTACGGATGGCATCACACCCCCAGGAAATTATAATAACATCAGCTGCAAAGTATCAATACACAGTCCACTTGCTTTTAGATTTAGACTGAATGTTTTTGAATCGCTACAATAGGCCATGGTTAATAGCTCAGTAAAATTAGCATAATACGTCCACTTTAAATCCTCAACAATCCTCATGAACATTTCACATCGCTAAGTGCCCTGAAACTGCTGGCGGCCTCCACACGATGTCTAGCGTCCTCTTTAGCGTCCTCTTAGCGTCCTCTTCCTCTCCACACTGGCCATGTCCCTCTCTTCTATGTCCGCAGCACTAATCCTGCGTCTGGAGGGGAAGATCCAACAGTCCCTGGAGCTGTTCCAGAGCTGCGCCATCCTTAATCCTGCCAGCGCCGACAACCTGAAGCAAGTGGCCCGCTCCCTGTGAGTCCTGCTCCCCCTTCAGAGCTCATCAGACACGACTGACAGAGAGAGAGAAAGGAGGGGGAGATAAGGAGCAGCCCAGAGCCATAGCTGACCTCACACTAATCTTAAAGGGGATAAGTGGCTCCGCTTTTGGGGGCTGAAGAGAAAGTAGTGGTGGCTTTTGGTTGCGTGATGTGTGAAAAGTCATATTTGAGCTGTAGATTATATTCACATGAAATCACATGAAAGACGCTTTGTAGTTGTTAGCTAAAGGTCCTATATTACATACACAAAAACAGACTCTGGTGAGCTTTAAGCCATGTTAGAATGTTGTTACCTCCTCAAAAACACACCTGGAGTTGTGTTTTGTCTGGGCCTGGGCAAAAATAAAAAATATTAATTGCATTAATCACATGAGTTCGAGTGCAAATGTTATACGCAAAACCAGTTAATGAATTAAAAAATAGTGTATAGCACACTTTTATTGGAAATATAAACAAAAGAGCCAGACATTTGTTGTGCAAACAGTATTTCTTTCAGACGGGAACCATCAGAGCCTTCAAGGTATTCTGAAGGCTCAAGAAAAAATATTGAATGAATAACTACTAATATATTTTTTCCAAAAAAAAATTTTCAGTGAGTAATAAACACTACACTAGTAATAATTCTAGATCATTTTTATAAACTTGGACTAATATTTCTTGGGAAACAAAGGGTTAATATAATGGAATGGAAATGGACCAATCACATTTTTTCTTCCAATGGTATCTGGGTAAATCAGTGCTTCCCCCTGCAGCACTGAACTAAAGAAACACCTGCCTTTGGTGGCTGGAACGAAGGCCCACACAATTTGTTGTCAGGTCAATTGAGATCGCCAGTTGTCTTAGCCAATCGTATTTCATTGAGTTATGGGCGGGGTCATATCACGAAATCTTCCGGGCCTTCACGATTACAGTGTGATAGCAAATATAAGTGAGACCGCAGCGACGAAAACCGCTCTGGACACCTCTATCTGGAGCTAGGAGCCCGCGGAGGCTCGGACTCTTTGCTTCTCACGTGGTCGGAAAAAAAAGAGATAAAAATGAAATAAAGTGTAAAGAAAAGGAGTCAAACTTAAAGAAACACTCGCGGTAGACTTATTCAAAATAAAAGCCAGTGAGCAACAGACGTTTACAATAAAAAAAAAAATTAAAATAATAATTAAAACTGCATTAACGGCATTCAAGTAATTGTCGGCGATAATTAATTAATTTGTTAACGCAAAATTAATGTGTTAACGTGCCCAGCCCTAGTTTTGTTTCATTCACACATGTTTGAGTAACACTTTATGATTAGTCTGTCTACATCTCCAAAGTTCCAAATACTCTGTTCCACCTTGTGATGTCATGTAGTGGTAGTTTTCAAATAGCAGATACCTTTTATCTTCAGTTTAGAACAGACAGACACTTTCAGGGCGTAAATGATCCAAATGATTCTAGTGAAGGTGTGTGGAGTTTAAAACACAGTGGAGAACTTTCTGTATCCCTTTGGTCCCCATGCTAAGTCACTCCCCCTTCAGATCACCAGACAGACAGACAGACAGATACTTCATAGATCCTGAGGGAAATTCAAGTGTTGTTGCAGCAGACTGTTGCAGTTGATTTCCACTGTGCGTCTCAGTGGCCTTTGTGCCACAGTCAGAGGTGTCAGGTCAGTTTAACAGGAGCACTGGGAGGGTCAGCAGATCTGTGTCAGGACAGTTTGAGGAGAGGAAGAGAAAAAAGTATCCCTGCTCTGTGTCCTGCACCATCACAGCAGTGTCCAGGGGGAACCAGATGAACACAACAGGAAAGGCCTTGTTCTTAACTCCACTCTGGTGTTTCTGTTGGTGATGAAATGGTCACAACACAATCGGTGTGCGTGACTAGTGCACATCGCAGAACATGGGTGATGAAGGCTTGTGGGCGGAGGCTCATACTGGGACAGGGGTGGATGATATCTCAAACCTCTTCAGACATGTTTTTGATGAGGGAAAAACATTACACTATGCATATACATGGTAGAAAGCCACTAAAAGTCAATTTTGCGTGATACTAAACTTTGAAACTCTTTGCAGCAGCCCAAATGCATTCACTTTTCTATAAGGCATTCCCAGCATCCTAATTCTTCACCACTGTTTATAAAACACTTAGAACAGGGTTTATAAAACACTGCTGCTAGTTTCAACTAGCATGCTAACAGCTCTCCAGCATTACGGCTCAGTTTGCGGACAATAAAAAAACCTTCACACTGAGATGCACACTGCACACAGCTGCTTTTAAAATATATCTGTACTGGGACAAGACAAATTTTCATTTATTACATGAAAAGAAAATTGGGTACAACTCTATGAACTGTATTATATTGGCTGAGAATTTCAAAATTTGCTGTTTTTGGCACCTGCTCCCCACTGAAATAGTTTGGTTTTAGATGATATCACAATATTCTAGAACACCTCCAGATCCAAAGAGCTGGAGGGCTGCTCAAAAATGGGTAGAATTTGTCTTGGAACTGTCAAAATGCAGATATTTTATCCTGATTTATGGTTAATGTCTCTGTAACTATTGGGCCGAAAACTGGAACAAAGTTTATTTTTTACTAAAACACAAAAAAAAAACTCAGCAGTTTTTGGCTTTACTCAAACAGAAATATACCTGAAGTTTTGTATCATTCATTCACATGTTTACAACACAAACCCCGCATATTTAAAAGACGTTCTTCTCTCAAACAGAAAACACTGTTCCACCTTGTGACATCATGTGGTAGCACAGGAAGTGCTCCACTGTGTTTTTAAACTCCACACACCTTCACTAGAAACACAGTCATGGAATTTGCCAGTCTCTACTGAACTAAAGTTAAAGATACAGTAGCTTCTTGACATCATAAGGTGGAACAGAGCATTTTGAGTTTTGGAGATATAGACAGATTCATCAGCCGGTTTCACTTAGTTGAAAACCACCATGACCTTTAGGATTAGGATTCGTTCGCTCTACGGTAGGCGGGTACTTTCTTTATTTAACCAATCACTGCTATTTGGTCGTGAAGTATGTAATGCTCCAAATCCCATAGGAAGAAGGACAAAAACGGTTCCCCTTGATAAAATTCACCAAACATTCTCTTTGGCTTTAAATCCTCGATCTGGGGAATCGTCGCCAACACAGAATGTCTGTCTTTGTCTACATCCATCTCGACCGCTTTGTTTACTGTTGTATTGTTCCACAAAGGGACCCAGACAAGTGCGACAAGTTTGACATCATGGCTTCACAGCTCACAGCTGATTGGCTGGTGGTCTTCCAGGGTTCTTCAAACCGTCTAGTGTATTCTGACTCCTGACCTAGTTGCTGGAAATGAAATTGAGTGTAGGCACTAGGTGGCGCCAGCCTGACTAGTAGACAGACTAATAATGAAATAAAAACTCAAGACATGCGTGAATGAAACTAAACAAAACACAACTTTTGTTGAGGAAACAGCAGTATAACATGTGTTAAAGCTCACATGAGTCCATTTGGTGTGATATAGGACTTTTAAGACATCAGATTTCTTGTCACCAAATGGTCCTTTATAAATCTCTCTATTCTTGACATTCTTGTGTTATATTCTGAGTGTTTTGATGCCCACACGTCATTAGCTGTGCTCTATTGAAAAGTAAAGCTGTATTGTTTTTGTTTGTGTAGATTCCTCTTGGGGAAGCACAAAGCAGCCGTGGAGTTTTACCACGAGGCAGCCAAACTCAACGACAGAGACTGGGTAACTACTGTGTCCTCTTCACTCCACACTCCACTATGTACACACAAGCACACACGCACACACACACAAACACACACACACACACACACACGCACGCATGCACGCACACACACACACGCAGTGCAGGAACGGAACCAAGTAAAAGTAGTAAAGTACTGTACTAAAGTAAAAAATTGTAGGTATTTGTACTTTACCTAAAGGTGCACTGTGTAACTTTTTGTCATTGCTCTACATGAAATGTTCCACAATATGACATTAAAATACCTTACATTCACTCAATTACAGGTGGTTTTATTGCTCAAAAATACCTTAAAAAACCCCACAACATTCTAACTGTGAGTGGGGGTTGCCTCTCCACAGATCTGACCTGTAACTTGGTCTGGTTTGGTCTCCATGAAGACAGAAAGTTTAATACCATACTGTGACACATTCCAGACAAAGCAATAACATCTGACTGATCCTCTACCAGAAAAGTGACACAATGCACCTTTAAGTAGATTTTTTCATGTGATACTTTTACTTAAGTATTTTTTTGCTCCGATATCTGTACTTTTACTTAAGTAACAAACCTGAGTACATGTCCCAGCTCTGCACACAAGCACTTTGGGAGCGTGTCATTGCGTATGCAGAGCTCCTCACACGCAGACGCTCTGTGGGGGAGTGCTTTTGTTGATTTATCTCCTGAGCTTTCACACTGAACCATTGTGTCTCGTGCTTCCATTTGAGAAGATGTGAAACGTACAAATATGCATATGCAAATGAGCGAGGCGCTGTGATCACAAACAAGTCTGGCAATTTATGTTCGCCACTTGTTTCAGGCTATAGGAAGATCACACGTTTTTCAAATCACGTCTGAGCGATGTCGATATAAAAAAGCGTCACGTTGGCAAATTCTCGTGAAAATGACTGAAATAAAGGAAAACATATACAATGCAAAACCAGACTGTCTAAGAATAACTACATAAAAAAAATAAAAAATCTTGTATCTTGCACTAAAGCTGCATTGCGTAATTTCTCTGGTGGTAGATTCATCAAATGCTTTTCTTCATGGTGATATTGTCTAGAATGTTTCACAGTATGGCTTTAAACATTTCTATCTTCATGGAGACCAAACCAGACCAAGTTACAGGTCAGATCTGTGGAGATCAGAATGTCTGTTTTTCTAGTTATTTTTGAGCTATAAAACCACCTGTCATTGAATAAATGTAAGGTAGAGCTGTTTAATGTCACACTGTGGAACATTCCAGACAGAGCCGTAACATCTCTACAGAAAGAAGCAGGTGATGGACCCCCAACCAAAAAGTTTAAATATGAATATTTAAATATTTTTGACTAGTTTGGATTGTTTAAAAAAAAAAAAAAAGTCTAGATACACAACCAGGCAAAATTTCGACAGACGTTCTCATTCATGTTTCTTCTTTATTTCTATGATTATTTACACTGTAGATTCTCACTGAAAGCATCAAAACTATGAAACTATGACACATACTGTATGTAATAAACAATAGATACATTCAAAATAACTCTAAAAGTAGTAGTAGCTTTAGCTTACCACCACCGGCTATGGAGTGAATGAATAATGCTCTGTAAAGCGTCTTTGAGTGTCCAAAAAAGCGTTGTATAAAACTGATGCATTATCATTATTAATATTATTATTTAAACTCTAACTTTAAAACTAGATTTAAATGTAAAAGTTAATAAAAATAGCCTTCACCCATTGCTTTGTGCCCTGTTTTCCACTCTTGACATTTCCACATCCTGACACGACACAGGAGAGTTCATCATGAAGGGTTTTCAAATGCTCTTCACAAAGCAAAGGCTGGATTTGAATAAAAATATTTAGTTGAATTAGCTTTTTTATTTACTACATAATTTCATATTCCTTCATATATTTTTGATGTCTTCTGTGTGTATAGAAAATGCAGAAAGTGGTAAACATAAAGAAAGAAAAAAAAGAGAATCCAAACATTTGTCTGACTGTGTAGTAAAAATGTTAAAACTAGTGCATGTGATTTTTTCTTTTTTTACCTGATTACAATTTTATTCATTTGAAAATGAATATAGGAACTAGTCAGAAATACTTCACTGTATTTATCACTAATCTGATCATCAAAAATACCAGGTGATACTGTCAGTCAGAGGTGGGACTTGTGAGTTGTGACTTGGACTCAAGTCAGACTTGAGTCACTATTTTTACGACTTGAGATTTGACTTGATAAAATAACCACAGACTTGGGACTCGACTTTGACTTGAAGGTCAGTGACTTGGGACTTGAGTCACTATTTTTATGACTTGAGATTTGACTTGATAGAATAACCACAGACTTGGGACTCGACTTTGACTTGAAGGTCAGTGACTTGGGACTTGACTCGGACTTGAGCCCTGTGACTTGGGAAGATCTGATGCTTCTCCTAAAAAACATATGTTTTTAGAAAATATTTTTCTCTTTACAGTTGATAAATGTGGCGCTTAATTTTACGGGAACAAAGTGGAACATGTCCACGTTTCTATTTGTTACTTTGGATATAACTGAAGTACTATGAGATGGTATCCTCAAATGTACTATAGTCATATACAGTACAATACAAACAGAGGGAACTACAAAGAACATGATCCTTCCATTTCAGTGCAGACTAAAGGACAAAATAACTGTTATGTAGCACTTTTAAATCTGAATTCTTTCTATTCTGACTGTTATGATTCACACTAGGATCTTGTCTTATATAAATACTCATATACCATGACTTTTTAAGTGCAATTTAGTTATATAAATATAAGTTATATAAACAGTAAAAATCTAAGTTCTATTTTGTGCTTTTTTGGTTTAAAGACTTGAAATGACTTGAAGCTCAAAGCACTTGAGGACAAAGGGTTGAGACTTAGTTGAGATTTGCAAAAGAATGACTTGGTCCCACCTCTGCTGTCAGTTAATCAGTAACTGTTGTGTTTGGAAGACAAAGTACAATGCATTTTTAACTATTTCTTTCTTTTTTGTCTCTGTCACTTTAGTGTGTCTTTTTTGCATCATTTTCCTCATCAAAATCAGAAAGAAATGTGATTACTCTATCCTAGATACATGTAATGATGACGTTTTTGCAGAGTTTTACCACAGACTGTATGGGTATTACACTGTACCTAACCTGACTCACTACTGTGTGCCGTTTCCATGTTCCAGGAGATCTGCCATAATCTGGGAGTGTGTTACTTCTTCATAAAAGACCTCAAACGTGTGAGTATTACCTGTAGTATTGCTTAGAACATATCTGTTTGCGTATGCTTATTTGAAATGCCATTTTCATTTTCTGTTATGGAACATTAGCTTTACTGAGCTTTAGGGCAAGATACTCCTGCCTGTACTGAGTTGTATTTAGATGATAAGGATTTCTGTGGGACAACAGCAGAAAGGAGAAGCTGAAGATTTTAGTTTTTGATATTTATCTGTAAAAAAAAAATAATCAGACCTCATTCTCAGCAAGTCTGTCTTCATACAATGTTTCCTCATATTTTTTCTGCATACATAATTATTTGTGCATGAACTCACATGCAGATGTAGCCATTACATTAACTGGCCGATATATCGAGCCAATATTTGGACTTTTTAGCACGTCAACTATCAGCCTTAAAACATGAGCACAGGTTGATATTTTGTTTCAGTCGATTTGCTGCCTAAAAAATACACACTAAGCTTTATAATAACACTTTAATAAGAAGCAGTAACTGCACTAAATGTGACTCACGGCTCTTCTATGGGTCTGTGGGAAAAAAAATCTGTGGGAGAGTTTCTATTACTGTATTTTCAGCGCAATAGGGCGCTCTGGATTATAAGGTGCACTGTCATTGAATGGTCTATTTTCTAACTTTTTTCACAAACAAACCGCACCAGACTTTAAAGGAAACACAACAGTTCAATGGGTCAGTCGGACTTTGTTTGTGGCGTTCACGGTGACTCTGGGCTTTGTTCAGTTGTGGCGTGTAGGGAGGGTGCTGTCTGGGACCACTGGATTGTCGGCGTGTTCGCAGTGACTCAGTTGTTCAGTTGTGTCTAGAAGTGGCACATTGCACTCGCTTTTTCGGTTTGTTCCACCGTTCTGTTCCTCATCGGCATGGAGTGATGAGTGTGTCTGTGGGTGTGTTTCGTTGTGCGGTCGCTGTCTGCTCTGTGCGTGTTTGCGTGTTCTGCGGGTGGTGCGGCTTTGTAGTTTACTGAAGTCGTGCTGGGACACCCGAGTGGATTCGTGTATAGGGCGCTCTGGGTTGTGGGGCGGCCAGTCGTTTTTTGATGGGGCTGGAGGCTTATGACGCGGAAAATACGGTAAATTTAAATAAGATAATTTGAGGAAAATATTCATTATCGCCCCAAAAATATCTGCAGTTCTTACCAGCCATCGGTTGTTCTGGATTCTAAACAATCTGAGATGTGTAATACTTTTAAGAACTTTTGTTACACCCCCTTTTTGTGGACTAATTAATCGGCTGGACTATGTCTTTAGTCGACTAATAGTTTCTTTAGTGGACTGCAGCTCTTCTGGTCTAAGGCAGCTACAGTCTGACTCTGTGCTTATTTTTCCAGGCTGAGGAGCATCTGAGCGCGGCGCTGCAGTTGAACAAACACGAGCGCTCCTTCATGATGCTAGGGAAGGTCCACCTGCAGGCCGGAGACACAGACAAGGCCATCGAGGTCTACAAGAGGGCTGTGGAGTAAGTTAGCACATCTTTAAGACACTGAAGTATGTGTTTTTAAAGCCCATTCACCATCACCTGATCATCTTATTGACAATAGCTGTGCAACATACAAGGACTGGATGGAATATTTTAAAAAGTGTCTCTACACATGTCCAACACTCTGGCTCACTAGGAAATTAAGTCCTATGTCCAAAATTCCGAACTGTCCCTTTCACAATTCTATATGAAAAGGGGTTGTCTGTGGAGTTTAGGTTTTTAGTCCCACTTTAAAATCCATAAACATAACCTAACTGTGTCCCCAGATATGAGATAAACATGTTCAATTCAAATATATCGTTTAATAAGAACAAATGTAATGCTGATTTATTCAAAATATCGGACATGATGTTCAGATTGTTTGTTATAACTTGGTGTTCTTTCTAAAGCCAATTATCCAATCACAAAGCAGAATTTATGATTGTATTGTCATTGTCACAGAAAACAACTAAATAGGCTTTATTCACGCTTATGTCACAAACCAGGAAGACGTTTGGAAACATGCAATGACAACTTCCGGTGTAGCTCCCGACACTGGCCTCACCGACCGACTGTGATCAAACCATGGATCTATTAAAATAACTGGATACAGTATTGCTGCTTGTAGCTGCCTCGAGTTGACGTAGTGGCCACTCAGTGGTTCTACAGTCAAAAAAATCCCATGGGCCGAGAGAAGATTTTTCTCATAGAGGCAATGTAATCACAACCTGCTCGTGTTCGGCTGACAGGGCACCTACAACTTTCAAAAATGTCGGATTTTGTGGCGATTTTTACCTGTTTTTAGATCATAAACTTTTTCTCGCTCAAAATCCTTCAGTTGTCTTAAAAAAACGCTTTATATTAGTTAGCTCTGGCTCCGCTCTGCTCCGCTCTCGTTCCTCTCGCTCTGATTGGTCAAAGCGATCACGTGATACACGAGCCTGCGCTCCGTGCGTGTGGTCGCGTGCATTCGCGTGTGCCCGTGGGAGAAAAGAGCACTACTGCGCATGCTCGGTCGGCCCACAGCCACCGGAAGTACCTAGCCGGGCTAGGCTAATCTGGGATCATGCGCCATTGAGCTCAGCCCATTGACTTGAATGGGCGGCCATTTTGGAACCTGGGGGCTTGGATCAAACCCACTGAAGTAAATGTGATCAGAGGTAAAATGAAGACTGCAGATGTATGTGCTGTTTGGAATCATCTGGAAATTCTGTGTCAGTGGGGAAATCATGAAAACTGAGATCTGGTTGGAATTGTTGATGAGCCGAACATAACGGAACACTACAATGACATGGAGATGAAGAAAACTGGGACATATTCTCATTTGTCCTAGATTTTGTCAGACTTACTACTACGCACAGAGCCCAAAGGAAGTTGTCATCGCATGTTTCCAAACGTCTCTGGTTTGTGCCGAAAGGATGAAAAAAAACAAAAAACTACCATTCAAACAGCAAAAACACAGTTAAGTCGCTGATTTAGGAGTTGATTTAGTGTTTTGTTCCACTTTAAAATCAAAATACAGTTCCTTTAATGCTTCAGTGACAGTGATGTCAACAAAATACCATAGGCAGTCGCATTCACCCTTTCCATTCATTCAAGGATTTTAGGAAAAAAAAACCAAGTCAATAATGTTGCTATGCACTCTCCAGGGTCTCACGGTCATGGAAATCCTAGAAGAGTCATAGACATGGAAAGTGTCATTTTCCAAGCCTGGAAAAGCCATGGGATTTTGTTAATTCAATGAAAGTTTTGAAAAGTCTTGAAATTTTACTATCTCTTTCACGCAACTACTAGTCTGATTCATCAACTGGTTTCACTTCGTAGAAACCGTCTGACCTCACAGTGTTAGCATTCGTTCACTCAACCGTAGGCGGATATTTTTTTTATTTAACCACTCGTTATTTGGGGCTAATTGGGATTTTCCCAAATCCCGTAGGAACATGGGTAATAACGTCTTTACCCTTGATAAAGTTCACCAAACATTCTCTTTATTCCAGCTTTAAATCCTCGATCTGGGGAATCGTTGACAACACAGAATGTCTGGCTCTTCGCTGACTGGCTGATGCCCGAACTTGCACTTCCGGGGTTTTTACGAACCGTCTATTTTATTTTGATTCGTGACCTAGATGCTGGAGAGAAATGAAATTGAGTGAAGGCCTTTAGGTGGCACCAGCAAGGCAACTACAGCATTATGTTAAGTTCTCATGAAGCTATTCTGATTATTTTTTTGTTTAAAAGAGACGACAATAAATGCACTGACAGTATTTTGAATGTTAAAAAACTATAATCCCAAACCATAAGGTGGGTGGAAAGGATTGACATTTCATATTTAGCCCTAAAAGTCTGATCAATTCTACACAAAGTCATGGAAAATTCACTTTAGGTTATGGAAAAGTCATGGAAAAGTTTTGAAAAAGAGTGGGAACCTTGACTGTTATAACAGTATCATTTAGCAGGGACTTGGCTGTTATCTTAGCTGTATAAAGCCCATTGCCTCCATGAATACATAAACAGCACAGTGGTTGATACTAGATGATCAGTGCTGCCTCCTGGGGGTTGGGGTTAAATGGTTTAATCAGGGGTCCTCCTCACACTGTTGCTTTAAAACACAAGTCCCCCACTGTGAGCCCTCCTCACCTCCCTCCCTCTCCCCCTCTCTCCCTCTCTCTCTCCTGTCTGAAACGAGCATGCGCCTCGTCCCACAGGCCGTCATTAAAACTCCACTCACCCGCTCCCAATAATTAGTGCTTAATTGGATATTATTATGTTTACCCAAGAATTTGCACAATAATGAACAGAAGAGCAGATTAATAGAAGAGCTGATTAAGTTGTATACGTTTTTAATTGTCTTTGTTCACCTTTCAGATTTTCACCGGAGAACACAGAACTGCTGACTACACTTGGCCTGATGTATTTACAGGTACGGGAATTTGCACTTAGATACATTTACTCAGATACATTTACTGAAATAAATAGTCATTTTCTAGCAGCATACTTATACTCCTACTTAATATTGTATTGAAGTAAGAGTACTTTTACTTGAATAAAAGTTTTAATTCCTCTTCCCAAGTCTACAAGTGACAAAAACTTTATTTATTTTTATTTATTTTGTATATTTATTTTATTTTTTAAATATAGAGATTGTAGAAGAGCTGGAGAAATAGTTTATTTTGGATACATTTCTGTTTTTCTGTCTTATTTCATGTTCTAAGTATATTTTTTTCATTTTATGTTTTATACATCGCAAAACTGCTCCAAGGTTCATATTTGTAGCCTATATTTATTTTAAATTTGTATGTTGTTTTTTTTTTAAGAGAGAATTGCTGAATAAATGCATTGTGTAACTAAAAAAAAAAATCTTTTGAATAATCGTGATTTCAATATTGACTCAAATAATCATGATAATGATTTTTTCCATAATCGAGCAGCTTTATTTAAAAAAGTATGTTTCTGGTACTGCACCTTAAGATATAATGTTTATTTTCTCAGTTAGATGTCTGACCTTTAAAAATACCAGATTTTGTGCATTATTTAATGTTTTGTCCTTCAAATTGCATCACATTTTAATTCAATTAAGATGTGTTCTTACAGTTGCTCTTTAAGTTACTCTAACTTGAGTTTTATTTTTTCTCAAATACTTTTTCACTCTTCTTTAGTAATTTCTTGGATCACTACTCTGTACTTCTACTTCAGTAATATTTTGAAGTAACATTACTGTTACTTGAATCCAATTTTTTGCTACTTTACCACCTCTGGGGATTTGTAACATAGTAAACAAACTCGAATGCCAGCAGCTCTTGTTTTTAGCCTCATTTAACTGCTTCTCTTCTTCTTGCGCCTTCTGCTGGACACAGAGATGTTTTTTTTTCTTGACTTACAAATCAGGACGAGTGTGTGGTTTTCTTTTGATTTGATGATTCTGTGTTAAAGTTAGGGAGCGTCTGTATTTTGAGCTGTTTTGTTGGACTTAAAGACAGACTGGGCTTTTACTGGACGGACACTCGTCTGCAGCCTGTAATGTAACTTTGTCTATTTCTTTTTTCCAGCTCGGAAAATACCAGAAGGCGTTTGAACATCTCGGCAATGCCCTCACTTTTGACCCCAACAATTATAAGGTATGTGTCCAGACTGTGTGCATCACAGAGGTCACAGACACTCTCAGGGTTTAGGTGTTAGCACTGGGAATCGCAGAGTCCCTCATGATTCAATACGATACTCAATTGATCACAAGGCGATATTATCACAATGATGATACATGCAATAACTGATATATTTCAGTTTTTTTTTTAAAGAACCAAATACATTTTAATAACAACATTTCTTTGTTAAATCACTGCTTGTTCAAAGTCAATATGGACTAAACCAGTTATAATTAAAACTTTGAATATGTCAAGTGTATTGCATAAACAAGTTTATTTTGTCTGAACCAAACATCAAAATTGCAGCACAGTCTACTTTGGCTCTTTACGAGGGCGGGCGCTTTTTCTCTCCTCTCCTGCACCTTATTTTCCCTGCTTTGCTTCTTTGTCTTGTCTAGTCTAGTGTCTAGTGTCTTATACTTTAGAGAGACTCTCTGCTTTGCTCTTCTGAACCTAAATGAACTATGGATTTTGTAAGTTGGTTTCTCAACGCAATTGACATATTTTTTTCAATGAGGAACGCAGGTTCAGGAGGAACCTGTTTGCCCCAGTCCGTGGAGGACATAGAAGATATTTACCTATTCAGAACAATGATTGCAGGACTTTTGCTGATTGGATTAGGCATGGCACTGATTTTCTGAAAAATTTGGATTACTGAGGCAGCTGTTCAAAGCCCCACTTGTCTGCCTGGAATGACTGAGACGAGGAGTATAACTGAGAGCACTCAAACTTGTGACTATGGGCTGGGTTCCACTGGTTGGATGGACATGGTGGCTCTAAATCCCAATATTGGATAACATCTTGGAGAAAACTCAAAGCTTTGCAAAGAGGAATGGACTTGAGACCGATATATGAACAAAAAGAGCAGTTGTGGAAATTGAAAAGGCAGCTGCTCGCTCTAAACCCAAACAACACGAATCCTATCTCACTGGCCCTCCCCAGACAGCGCCGGTCGCAAGACCGTTCGGTATCAACTCTTTACCCCTCCCCTGCCCTGTTACTAGTCCTGTGAAATGTTTGTAGTGTGTTTTGACTGTGCTGATGTCACAGAGGTGTTTTTTTGTGCACTCTACCATATTATGCCCTGATAGAAACATGGTCTGGAGCTGTTCTTTTTTTTTTATCCTCATGTTATGCTGCAGTATTTATTCCTATCTGCTCCTGTCTTCTGGTCCGTTCCATGGGGTCTTCCCCATGTCATATTGTATTGTATGTTTGTGATGTACAGATGGAGTGACAGGTCAAATTTCAATTCCTTTGTATGTCAAGGCGATATATCGATACAGAGCCCACGATAACAATACTGTATCAACAAATTTAGTATCATGACATATGGACATTTAGATATTTTAGCACAGCCTTATTATTAATGACTGAATCACTGCATTTCTATAGGGCCTTTCAAGACAGCCAGAGTACTTCACAGTGCATTATTCATTCACTCCACACTCAGTATTATGTATTGTTACTATATCCTACTATGTTTATTTATGAATGTAAGTCTTGAGACATGCCTTCAATTTACAATGCATTATTTATTCACACTCGTGGGTGGTAAGCAGCATCTGTGGTAGCCTGATGGAAGCGAGGCAGCTAATCTGCGTATATTAACCTCCCGAGAACGATCAATCACTCCCTCACGCGCTACATTCAGGCTAAGCACGGTGGGTGAAGTGTCTTGCCGAAGGACACAACGGCAGTTTGATCTGAGCTGGGTTCATACCGCCAATGACTTAAACAAAAACTGTGATTAACGAGGAGGTATTATGCAAAATCCACTTTTTGGAGCTTTCTACCACGTTATAAGGTTTACTCATCAAAAACATGCCTGAAGAGGTTTTAGATGTCACCCATGTATGTTTCAGTCATTTTGGCAATCTCTCCCCTGTCCTATTCGTCACCCATGCTCCCACACAACAATTCTCCATGAATATACAAAAGCAGGATACAAAACTACCATTTAAAGGGTTAGTTTGGGATTTTTTACATAAATCTCTATGGCATCGTTGTGAGCAGTGTCGTGCATCAACACTGACTTACCCCCAACAACGTCCGGTGAACCGAGATACTGGCCGTTTTCGGTGCTGACGAAAGTAGTCCGGCAAGTTGGCCTGTGGACAGTATAATAAAGTGTTTTTCTTCTCAAAAGAGTGATACATTTGCATCACAAAACCACTGTCGCCTAAAAAGTCAGACCTCATAATCACTTGGCACTATTTTCTTTCCGTTCATATCACTGCGCGCTGCCGCCAGGTGACAGCCGCGCACGAAGCCATCACTTTCTGCAGTTGTTCGGCAGTGTTTACATGCGCAGACCGCCGCGATGTGAGAGAGCTAATGTGAGAGCTAGAGTGATAAGAATATTAGTGCTGTCATGCAATTAAAAAAATTGAGAGATTAATTAATTATGATCTGTAATTAATTAATCTAATTAATCTCATTTTAATCTCACCTAAAAATTGCTGAGAAAAGCCTTCAATTTGAGGTATTTTCATTTAAATTCATTATTACATTATTGTGGCAGATCAAAAGACTGATATAGATTTAAAAAAGTGACTTTATAAAGTCATTTATTGTTTAACAAATCTCTCCAAATTGTCTGTTGAGCCCAAGTCTCCATGAATAAGAAACTGTTTGCTGTAAAGTAGCAAAGACGAGGAAATCTGAACATAATAACTTTTGTCTACTTAAAGACAATAAAAAGTCCAGTCTTTCCTTCACCATATTAAAAATATTATTGATAGAGAAATATATATGAGATCACTGGTTTTAGTCCTGGTTTAGACCTACTTTAGTCCTAGTTTAGTCCTGGAATGGATTAATCCTGGTTTTAGTCCTGGTGTTAGTTCTGGTTTAGTCCTGGTTTAGACCTGGTTTAGTCCTGGTGTTAGTCCTGGTTTAGACCTGGTTTAGACCTGGTTTAGTCCTGGTTTATACCTGGTTTTAGTTCTGGTTTTAGTTCTGGTTTAGTCCTGGTTTAGACCTGGTTTAGACCTGGATTAGTCCTGGTTTTAGTCTTGGTGTTAGTTCTGGTTTAGAGGCGCACAGGAGGAAGCGCGGTTTACGCTGCGTACGCGAGAAAGGAAACGTGGTCCGCGCGTTCTCAGGTTAATGACGATGATGAAGGTGTGTGTTTGTTTGTGTGTGTTTGTGTTTGTGTGTGTTTGTGTGTGTTTGTGTGTGTTTGTGTGAGTTTGTGTGCGTGTCCCCTCATGTGGCAGGTCACTATAGGACAGTAGTGCAGACATCATGAGCCTATGCAGGTTGTTTTCAGGTGATATTATATTTGTTATTTTCTTTTATATTTCACGTCAGGAGAATAATTTCCAAGACACGAATGTGTTTTTCCCTGTGCACTGCTGACTCTGTTCTACTGACTCTTCGACCTCGTCCATTGTGCGACTGACGCCGCCAACGTGAACATGACGTTTACATCGCTCTTACTGCACGCGTTTTGTGTGGGTTTCCGGCAATGAGTGGAATTACCGAAATAAAAAAATGTATAAATGTGTTTTTTGTGTGTGTGTTGTTGTCCCAACAACACATAAAAACAGGTTTTATAATAAAGAAACTCACATACAGAAACACTAAAGTTAGAGATTAAAAATGAGATTAACGCGATTAAAAAACATAACGCGCTAAATATGACTGTAATTAATTAATCGCAATTAATGCGATAATTTGACACCCCTAAAGAATATATCTAAAACATGGTGTGAACTCTTGATTATCCAGGCTGTAACAACAAAAATCTGGCTGAATCTCCACACACATTTCACTGTTTTCCTGTCACAGACTTTGCGCTGAGGAAACTTTGGCTTCTTGCCTTTGGCTTCAACGTGGAAACCAAACCAGGTAAGAACGAAGAAGTGCTGCTATGTTTACAAGAGAACAGACTCAAGAATCAGATGTAACTCTGTGTGCAGTAAATCACTCAGTGTCATATCACCAGTGAAGCTTCTACAAAACATAACTTTATAAGTCGACTGTTATTACTATTGTAAATGTGGCGTACACTATTGGCAGCAGCTACGTGGACATGTGGATGATTCCATGTTTCTATTAGTCGTCCATGCTTCAGTCACAGTGGAGGCTCTATGTTCGCTGTATACGAGTTTCTAAATGACGTGATGGTGATTGTCGCTCACTCGGTCTCTCACGGCTCCAGCTGTGGCCCCAGCTTCAGCTTGTACCACTTCTCTGTCTCTCTTCTCTCTCTCTGCCCGTTCTAACTCCATCTGGTGAATTTCAGCATCAGTATATTCAGGTTCATAAAGATCTCCCCTTGACTTTGTGGTAAAGGCAAAGTCTTTATTGTCGGTGTCATAATCAGACATGTTGTCACTAACATTCTGAGCAGTAAACAAAATGAACCAGGCGCGGCTGTCACCTGGCGGCCGCGTGCAGTGATACGAACGGAAAGAAAATAGTGCCAAGCGATAATGAGGTCTGACTTTTTAGGCGACGATGGTTTTGTGATGCAAATGTATCACTCTTTTGAACAAATATTGTTTTGATAAGAAAAACACTTTATTATACAGTCCCCAGCTAACTTGCCGGACTACTTTGTACTACTTTCTTACTACTTTCAGCCAGTATCTCGGCTCACCGGACGCTGTCGGGGGTAAGTCAGTGTTGATGCACAACACTGCTCACAGGGATGACATACAGATTTATGTCAAAAATCCCGAACTATCCCTTTAATACTCCATAGAAGTAAAATACCTCCTCTTTAAAGCAGAATAAATTAGCACTCTATCATAACTGAGCCTGGATAAAAATCATGATTCATTGTCCTTGTATTACCCAAATCTGATTATAATCAGATTTCTGGACCTTTAAGATCACTTTAATGACATGAAAACTGCAAAAATAATCAGAGGGACCATGATCAGAAAGAAATTAGATGAAAATAACCTGATATTAATTGTTGTAAACCAAACCGTAAGGCAACGACAAGGGTGACAATTGTAAGTCATTTAACAAAAGTTCAAATTAGGCAAATAATTAACAAAAAGACAGGCCCAACTGGGGTTAACGCAAACCAAACTGAACAGAACAAAACTAACCCAACCAGAGAAAGAACAGTGGAGTTTAAATACAGGAGGACAAACGAAAACTGAACACAAGAGGGAGGAATTACTCTAAATAATTAACTAAAACTACTAACTTGTTCACAGTAACAAGAATAATTATAATACAGAAAAATAGTGCTCGTAGATGGTCTCTGCCAAGGCTCGACTCCTATTGGTCCTCCATCTGGCCAAAAAAAGAACAAGTGTAAGTAATAAATAATTCAGACTTATATTAACTAAAACATGTGCACCCAATATACAGTAAGTCTAAATAAAGGAATACTATGTGTGCTGTAATTTAAAGTTGCTTAAAAATAATACTAACACTGGTGTAGTGGCAGAGGTGTTCACCACATGAATCAGATTTTAAGAGGACTGAGGGAGGGCTACATGTGCACTAAACCATGGCTGTAGAAGACAAAACCAGGACAAAACTCCCTAAAGAGGAGTAAACCAGGACTAGATCACATGGAACTCCATAAATGTATTAGTATTCTGCATTAGTATTTTCAAACATGTGTGAGCCTTCTCCCTCTCCTCTCTGTGCCTAGGCCATCCTGGCAGCGGGCAGTATGATGCAGACCCACGGGGACTTTGACGTGGCCATGAACAAGTACCGTGTGGCAGCCAGCGCGGTGCCCGAGAGCCCTCCCTTGTGGAACAACATCGGCATGTGCTTCTTCGGCAAGAAGAAATATGTGGCTGTGAGTAACTGATGTGAACTTCACAGGAGCATCTAAACTGTGAGCTTAGGTCACACTGTCACACTGGGGGTGTTCCACATGTATCTCTGTGGCGGAATGTTTAGTAGTTGCTTCAGTTACACAATGCACACAGGCACTGCACTCAAGAAAAAACACAACATGGATTTAATGAGCACATTTTCAGGAGGCTGTGATCAATGCGAGCGTTCATGGTTCTGTTTAGGAGTTTGATTTTCTGCCAAAACTATCTAACTAGCTTGTGACTAACTTCATGTGACAAGCTTAACAAATCAGCTCTCCTGTTGTGGTTCCAGCTGAGTCACTTTATGGTCAGATTGTGTTCAAATAAAACTCAGATTCAAGTCTAACTCGAACAACAGAACTTCAGACAGAGCAGTGCCTCGAACTAGCTTCACAACCCCAAGGAATGTTGATGACATGAGCTGCAAACTATGAATAACATACTAGTGTTGAGGTCCCTTATTTCATTGACTGTGTGAAATATTCCAGAGCATGGCTTTATGTCCCATGTTCTCATTATTGGATATTGTAAACACATCCTCACTTTTCATGCAGCTTCCTCTCACTAGATTTTAATGAATGTCTGAGTATAATTTATAACCTCCTACACACCGGAAAACAAAACTCTCACACTCTCTCATGGGAAATTAGTATCTCTGCTAAATATTCACTATTTTCAATGAGTCATTTCAGCTAAAAGTTACAAAGGAACAGCTGCTAGTATGTATCATCCAGACAAGCAGGGCCCTCAGTGTTTAACACAAAATATTTGCATTAGTTTAGTCAGTGCTGTGCAAGTGCAAGTGTTAAGATACTTTATCGTTTCACTTTTGGCTATTATATGATCCTATATTATTTTATCGGGTCACTCTTCATAGTACAGGCAAGTCCATCAGCTTGTCAAAGCAACAAAGGGTTCCCATCTGTCAAATAGACAAAGCATTAGACCAGGGCTGGGCAATCATTTTTCCATGGGGCCACATGAGAAACAGTAAATATTGTGGCGGGCTGGGCCAAAATGCTTAACTCAATTCTGCATAATATGAATTGTATTTAGTAAAGAGCATTGTTTTGACAAGCTGCTAAAACTGATAAGAGTTTATGTTATGACTAAGCAATGAAAAAGTGAGTTTGCCTTACAACAAATGTCATTTAAAACACCTCTAAAATAAAAGTAATGCAGCTTTAGTCCACACATGAGTTAGAAATATGACATATGTTTATTTTGTAATTCCAAATGAGTTTAAATGGGCCGGTCAGCTGGACAATGCCCAGGTCTGCATTAGACTGATGACATTTCTTAACTCATCCATGTAACTTCTTCAGTTTGGATAAGTTTCTGTTCAGTCACTTGCATCTGTCTGCAGAGGGAGCTAGCTACACTGAAACACACAGTTTGTTTACAGTGAGGAGCATCTAGTATTAGTTAAAGCAGACATATTATGGTTTTTAAGGAATTAATATTCAGCTTTAACACTGTAACAAGTAGATCGTTACATTACATTTGGTTCATTATAAACAAAAAATTCAATTCTGTCACTGGCCAAAGGTTTTAGAGTGAAGATGTTTTACAGTTCATCCAAGCAGCCAGCTTCTTCAGTTCTGGTCAGACGCTGGTGGACACTTCCTTTTATCTGCCTGCAGGGAGGAGCTAACTACACTGAAACTACTCTGAAACTAACACACACACTTGTTTACAGTTTCTGTTTGTAGCTCGGTCTATTGAACTGCGCTAAGTGTGAATTGTGCCTGGGTCATATATTAGCAGAAACATTCAGGCCTGTGATGGGAGCTTTCACACCTCTGAACATCCAGGCTATCATTATTGTTTACCCTGTTTTGATTTAGATCTGAGGATGGAATTGTAAATCGGAGATAAATGATGTCTGAGGCCTCCATTTTTGTTCAAAGATGGATTGTCTTTCCTAACAAAAATGGCCTGTTTAACGCCTCTCTCAAACCAATACTTTTCTCAATTACAGACTATCCTCAGATACTCAGAACTGAAGCTACTTAGATAAGCAGCAAATGTACAGACTATAAATTGTTCTCCAGTTGAAAGAATTTAAAGTGTAACTAAACAATAAATGAACTTTTGTTTTCAACTTAACCAGGTATGGTGTTTTAATAGCCTCATCTACTGATCCTAGTCCCGTTTTTCCAATTCTAGTGCAAATCAAAAACAGTCAAATTTGGGTGTGTGCTGCTTTCAGGGGCCATTTCAAGTAATAAGTGACATCACACAGGACTACCCCGATTACAGACAGGTGTTTCTGATACAAACACCCGCCTGTAGGGGCAGAGTTTGAAGTGTGGACACCCTCCTCCCCCCTCTCTCTCCCCTTTAGTCCTCCAGGTCCTGCCTAGTTTATCTGAAATGTGCTTGTGGTCGGAGTTTAGGTGTTTATAGTCCCACTTGAACCTTCTTTTGCTATGGACCCACCTGAGGGATTACACAAACATTACATGAAATCAGCTGTTTATTTACGTTTTTAAAATGATTCCTCAGAAGAAACGATCCTAGAAGTCTGCAAGGTAGTTCATATGCTCAGTAGGAAAATGCATCTTTAAAGGACTCTGCACTTATTAAAAAATGTGTCTTGGCACTTTCATTTTCTCCATGCCACTATTGCTGCTATTAGTTATTGTGTGTATTTGTAGTTGTTATGAATGTTACCTAACTGTGTACACTCAACACAGGTGCTTAGAAAATTCTGTTTTTAAAGTTGGAAAAGTATGAAAGTGAAAAAGGGATAAACACTTACAAAAGGGTTTTGTAAAAGCAGATTGAACAAATCATGCTCAGGTAGTTTTTTCATGTTTTTTTTTTTATTTGTACATGAGTAATACAGATTTTTACAGATTTTAAAAAGGTACTATCAGCTTGGTTGCAGAAAATTTTCATCAAGCACACCCAATCTCTGGAATATTCAAAGGACAGACACAAAAATGAGACAAACTACTAGTAAATGATATCTTAAGGAGCTGCAAGAAGCACAATTGTTCAAATAATTTCATATTGTCACATAAAGCTTTTGTCTCTTGTATATTTACTCACAGTGAAAAACATTTACTCAAGTAAAAGTACTGTTACATCAATAAAAATATTACTCAAGTATAAGTATGTTGCTAGAAAACTATTCTGAAAATTACAATTTCTTTAAAAAGTTTCTCAAGTAAATGTAACTGAGTACTACCTGCTCTTTTTACCTCTCCCTTAACCTGCAGATAAGACACATACACATACATGTATTGATTTTCTCAGTACATATACAGACCATGCCTCATGTGAATACTCAGGAGAAGTGTGTGTGTTACATATGGGACTTTCCACACTAAGTTTGTGATTTATTAAAGCACAAATATAAACAGAAATCTGACCATAAACTTTGAACTTTGGGCACTGGGGCTTTCAGAGACCAGACAGAAGGAGGCCTGAGCTCAGAGAAAGAACAGAGTCACTGTTAGGGAATTTGTCTATGTATACACTTTTAGTAAGAATTCTACCTAAACTTTTAGAAATGAGACCCAAGAACCTCCAGAACTCCCTCACTGAGTTGCAGAGGCTGCACTAGCACTGATTCATGACTGGTGCAGATGCTGGGGTTTAGTGACCATTCAGATCAGATCTTTTTAGGTTTAAACCAACTGGATCTGAGCAATGAAACTGGCAACTGAAATCAGAGACTCCTTCTGCTTTCTGATTGGATACTCGTCTTGAGAACCAAAACATTACTAACACACAGTTTCTTTAAGTAGCAGTTCTCTTGAGCAAAATGTTTGCTTCCTCTTATTTGACAATTGTCTTTGTGACACAAGAACCTAACCTAGACCTTGTACTTTTGTCATTTTACCATTAAACATTATTTACTATTTTTATACCAGAGACTAAAGTTGTATCAAACAGCCTTCCAAATCAAGGTCATATGCACTTACAGGATTAACTCCCTAGTGCTTGAGATAACTGAATTTTCTCAATTTCTCAGTTGGATAAATGCTGTGTTCTGTGCTCCTGCCACAGGCCATCAGCTGCCTGAAGAGGGCGCACTACCTGTCTCCGTTTGACTGGAAGGTTCTGTATAACCTGGGCCTGGTGCACCTGACCATGCAGCAGTACGCCTCCGCCTTCCACTTCCTCAGTGCAGCCATCAACCTGCACCCGCGCATGGGCGACCTCTACATGCTGCTCGCAGGTACTGCATGTGCACACACGCACACACACACACACACACACACGCACACACACACACACGCACGCGCACGCGCACACACACACACACTCTATCTGTGCTATGGAGAAGAGCTGGAACTAAACAGTGTGGGAGCAGTGTGCACTATGTAACTTTTCTGTGTGCAGACTTTATAGTGGAGGTGGTTTGGTGTTATGGGGAGGGTCACTGTATTTGACATTTAAAGGGTAAATAACTTTTAAGATGGTAGGTTGTCTCCATGGAGATGTTATTGCTTTGCCTGAGCAAGAATGGTATTAAACTGATCAATCCTACATGTATTGATTTTGTTTTGTTTTTTTGCTGAAAAAGACAATGACAAACCTGCCTTCCTACTGTGAGTAGGGTCACCTCTCTGCAGATCTGACCTGGAAGTTGGTCTGGTAGTGTCACCATCTCCATGAAGAGCAGATTTATAAGTAAAGCAATAACATCTTCATGAGTATTTTCAAAGATACAAATGGCACCTGTAATGCCTAATACAGTGGCTCTCCACATAACATGTTCTGGTAACTGTTGTACTACAATGTGTAGTTAGTACACACTCTAATAATACTGCAAGAGATTTGAATATGGCATTGACTGACTTCTTATTCTTTCGTCAGTGGCCTTGACCAACTTGGAGGACCAGGAGAATGCCACCAGAGCGTACGAGCAGGCTGTGACTCTAGACCAGTGAGTGAAGCATTCCACATGATGTAATGTACACACACTCTCACTCAAGTTTAAAGATTTGTTTATGTAGTACCGTGTATGAGACAACACAAGGTGCTTTACATTTACACTTATATATTATGTACATCATCTCGTCATTCAAGTCACTATAATGGCTGTAAGAGAGGCAGAAATCAAAGTGACCATAGGTGGCTCCTCCCCCGGTGGACATTCCTAAAAAGCGCAGAGGCGTTACAGAGCCCCCTGGAGGCCGTGTTGCTGCTGTTGCCACCCACTCATTCACCACTTCATTAGATATGCATGAACTTTTAAATCTACAGAGGCCAAATAAGCCTGGTCCAGCACATGTCCCTCTCAGAGTCCCACAGGAACTTAGAGCCTGATTCAAAAGACACCTCTGGTCAAACACTAAGTTGTTTTTGACACGTGTAAAGTCTCCGTAGGATTACTTTGTGTTCATTGTGTTCCTGGTTGTGCAGTCAGGCTCTAACAGTCAGCAACTCGATTACAGCAACAGCAGCCTGTCACCTTGAGGGCAGTTTGAATGCCCCATCTGCACCCGCTGATCAGGTCAGGTCTAAATGGTGCATCAATTCAATGAAAGAGACTCGAGAATGTTGTAAACACACAAAGTAGAGCTACATTTCCACCTCCACATTGACACAGCCCGTCCATTTGAGTTCCTTTGTGTTTACAGACTAGACTTATTATGTCATAATCTGTCCAGGATCAACTGAGCTGTTGATTTTTCCTCAGATCCAATCCAATGGTCAACTTGAACTTTGCCATCTTCCTGTACAACCACGGAGATAAGAAGGGCGCTCTGGAGCAGTACCAGGAGATGGAACGCAAAGTCAATGTGCTCCGAGACAGCAGCTCCAGCCTGGAGTTTGACCCGGAGGTACTGTGTCTGATAGTCCCACTCTGATACTAACCGGGCTCTGCATCCTGGGTCTGGAGGCCAATATTGATCTTTGTCTGTGCAGACTTAGTTCAGAAGGGTTTGGGCTAGTTTTTCTGATAATGATTTACAAAGAAGCCAAGTGCCCGCAACCATAGCTATTTTTGTACACGTGACAAATTAGATTCACTGTAAGCATAAAGGAAGCAGATAAAACCATCCGTTGGTGGTACCTTGAAGATAGCATTTGTTTATTTGAGGGACAGTGCATCTGTGATAGTAATACCTATGCAGACATTTAGGAGCCTATGGGTTTGAATAAGAGCCTTTATGAGAAAAGAATACAGCATATACATAGATCAAGATCCGTATTATAGATATAAAACTATAGATGTGGGCCACCAAACCTTTAAATTTTAAAATCATGTTTTAGTTTTGTCATTATTACACAAGCACAAACCAATACATTTCATCAGTTTAGTGCAAGGGTCACCAAACTTTATTCTCTGGGGGCCACATTATGGCTCCTGACTGTGATGGGGGCCAGGGTCGGGGCTGTATAACTGAATTGTTTGACCCTGATGACACAGAATATATTTTTTGAAAACCACCACTCTTTCTTTACATATCAGACAAACTGCACACTCCTCACACTGAACACAAAAAGAATCGGTCTTCCACTGTTCTCTGAAAACTCGGCACTCTTACCTTTTCATATTTTAACACGAGCCATGTTGCTGTCCTTAACTGCACTGCAGAACTCTGCGTGTGCATTGACTGTCACAGTTTGATCTTGAGTTTGTCAGGTGATGAAAATTCAGCGGCAAATGTAAATAGGTCATATAATTATTTAAATATAAATATAAATACCTCATATAAACATAATTTTTCATTGAAAAAAATCAAAATACAAGAGGCAGATGTGTTTTTATTTGCCAAAAAGTAATAAAAAATAAATAGGCCATGACAACTTTTGAGGATTGCCTCATAGGGCCAGTTCAAGTGGTGTGGGGCAGAGGGGCTGGGGAGGGCAGTCAAAGGGGCATGGAGGGCCGGAGTTAGCTCGCAGGCCTTAGTTTGATGACCACTGTTTTAGTGAAATACACAGAAAATACTTCAGACACTTCAGAAGACCAGACATGAGCACTGTTCCACTCCACCGCCAAAGCTTCTTGCTGTTTTGGTAGAGTATAAGTTTTCACCTGACAGACAAATGCCAAAACACTTATTTTTGCTTATACACCGGTTTAGGGACCTGTTTTCCTATTAGCCCCTGTCCCTGTCTGAAGTCCTCTATGTCCCTGTCTGAAGTCCTCTCTTGTTCCAGCTCATAGACATGGCTCAGAAGATGGGCGCCGCTCTGCAGGTGTCAGACACTGTGGTGTGGAGCAAACCCTCCAAAGAGTCCAAGTCCAAAGGCAGCTCCTCCTCGACCTCCAAGAGCAGCGGGGCAGCTCTGGGGACCAACCAGGCTCTGGGGCAGGCCATGTCCTCTGCTGCCAGCTACAACAAGAGCCTGCACATGCAAGCAGGTGGGTGCTTTGTGTCATTATGGTCATTATGGGGGTATGGTGAAAAACCAGCATTCTACTGTGAGCAGAGTCACCTCTCCATAGATATGACCTGTAAATTGGCCTGATGTGTCACCTTCTTTTCTCCATGGTGTCAATAAGCATCTCTGTGGAGACAAGCAGGTGGCGTACCCTTCAAACAACCGGAGACGTTCTTTACCAAGCCAGTCTTATTACATTGAAACCCCGTTTACACTAAAACGAATCCGCGTGTCACCGTATCAGTGCATCGGAAATGATCTGCATCTAGACACGTCGTTTCTGTGTCCGCAATCAAAGCTTTCCCTGTCCACACAGAAACACAAAACCACCTGAAACGCTCGTCACGTGATCGGCTGGTGTCACGTCTTCACGACGTCCCGACGAAACTTAAAACCACATGGCTCATTTGCATAAACTATGCGCTCAAAAAAAAGCTATTGTGCGCTGATGCAGTTCAGCTTCTGTCAGGACACCACTCTGTGGAATATGAGTGTTCTTTCTGTGACCGAGGGGTGTTCTGCTGATGGTGAGTTTGTTCTGTTCTTCTATTGCATTTGAGATGGTTCATATTAAACTTTTCAGAGATTATACGGTCTATGTGTACGATCATACGCATAGACCGTTTATATGAATAGACAAATATTCTAGTCTCTTAGCATTTTGGCGCTGAATTAGCCTGCACAGAACTACGTCAACATATCACTGTTTTCAGGCGTCCACATGGTGCCGGATGAGATCAGTACTCAAATGAATCAAACACTGCATCTAAAACGAAAGCGATTCAAATATGTACTAGTGTGGACGGGGCCAACCTGGCCTAACCCAGAACCTACCCAGGACAGTAGTGATGCATCTGTAGTCAAATCTAACATATACTTTTTATTGTTGAAATAATGAAAAGTTCACATATTGATGAAGAAGTGATCACCATAATTAATATCAGGTCATTTAGCTCTGAGCAGACTTTCACTCTTTGTCAAAAAATAAAAACTTTTTCCCAACAACATAAGACAATTATCACTTTTGCTAAGAAGAAGGACATTGTGTGTTCTAGACTTTTCCTCCTCAAAGTGGGACAGGGCCTAAAATACACCTGCCCGCTTAGACCAGAGAGTGTTGTGTGATGACACGTCTCCAGGCTGGTGCTGTCTGCCACATGTCATGTCTGTTCTGGGTCTATAGTTCTTGGTCTATAGTTGGAGCTAATGGACAGGTATCTTCAGCTTAGTCAAACGCACGGTCTTGTTCTTTCATTTCTCAAAACAATTATGAAGAGATCAAGCTCAGTATAAAACTACAGATTGGTAAAATATCACTTCCAATAATGACATGAGTGATAAAGCCCCAGCCACCAGTAGTACAAGTGTATCCAAGTCTCCGTCCACGAGCCTACATCACCCATGCTCCCACATGACATTTCTCCATAAATATACAAAAACACAATACAAAACTGTACACAACAACTTGATAAACTTGATGTGATGTGCAGTACAGGGGTGTAGTGGGCGTGGGATGTGGGGGTTCGCCGTCCACCCACTTCCCCGATGTGAGATATAAAAAAATAACAAATATAAAATAGCTATAACTTAAATGTCAAACCGGAGCTACTGGCAATGATGAAAACAAACTGCATAGACTCATGATATCTGCACTACTGTCCTAGAGTGACCTGACACATGAGGAACTGAACCAGGACTGAACCAGGACTAAAACAGGACTGAAACAGAACTAAACTAAACCAGGACTAAACCAGGACTGAACCAGGACTGAACCAGAACTGAACCAGGACTGAGTATTGGGAGGAGCCCGGAGGTGCACCCGCGTAGAAATTCAGGTAACCGCAGGCGAAAGGACCGGCACAGAGCTCTGTGTCCCAAGGGGCTAAGCGCAGCCGTCACCTGATCGCACTTTGTGTTCACCCTTCCCCAGAACCTGGTTTAATTCTGGTTTAGACCTGTTTTAGTCCTGTTTTAGTCCTGTTTTAGTCCTGTTTTAGTCCTGTTTTAGTCCTGTTTAGTCCTGGTTTACTCCTGGTTCAGTCCTGGTTTAGTCCTGGTTCATGTGTTGTAGCCTATGATTTATGTTTTGTAGGTGATTATAAACGGGGTTAATGTTAATAACATGATTCTACATCATTTTGAGTAAAAAAAAAAAAAAAACATCAAATATTTCAGATTTTTACTGGGCTGACACCTTTATGTTTGTGCTGAAAGTTTGTTTGTTTGTTTTTTAATAATTTCTATGATACCTGTGTGTATTTCAGCATGTCAAGTTGAGTATATGGCTTTTGGGGTGGAGGTGAATGGGGAAGGTGTTCATCATGAATCTCGTACCTCCACGTAAAAAAAATTCCCACTACACCACTGGTGCAGTAGATTTCATTATTCGGGCAACACACTGATTTTTGCGCTTTGAACAGGGAGTGACTTAGTAAAAGGAGGGAAGACTCAAAAATAAAACTGCAACTTATTAAAGACGTTCATATAAGGGATAGGCATGATTAGTCGATTAATCGATAATTGATCATTAAGAATTTCATCGATTACGTTAATTTTAATCGACAAACCAAATGTAGGTTGGTGTGTGTAGTGTGACCAAACAGGTGTGTACATGTGTCTCTGCATCAGAAGGAGCGAGACACACACAGTGGGTCAGTCTGCAACGTACTGAAGCACAAATGTGTATTTAACGATGACTTGTACAAGAAATTCCAGGCTTTCTGTTGTGTTCGGGACAAGTGTGAGTCCATGTGCACAGTGTACAAAGCAGCACATATGTTTCTGTGTCCAGTGGGAAAAAGTTTTGCCAGGTGAGAGTCGCTCAATGTCGATGACGAGTCCCCACCTCCCTCGATGTCCTGGTTTTGACAAACGCAAATATGGTCACACTAACCTGTATTCCACTGAATCGTGTCTTTTAATCTGACAGAAATTGACCGCATCAGCGACACAAGAGCTGTAGTTTTATCTTTGCTTAGTTTATGCAAATTAGCAATAAGGTTTTAAGTTTTGTTTCTGTGAGAGTTGTGCAAAACTGAATTAAACACATTATAATGTCAAACGGCTGATGTGGCTCTAGAGTCGTTACGGTTTATATGTCGTAAAGTTGAATTTATTTATACAGATTAGTGCAGATAGTAATAATAATGATGATCATTTTAATATAAAAATGTTAATGATTAATCGATCATTAATTCTTCTGACAATCGATTAAGAAAATTTCATCGAATGCCCATCCCTAGCTCATATGTTGTTTCCTGTGAATGTAGCATTTAACAGACTTTTGTGGGCCTTGGATTTGAAATTTTATCAGCAACAAGACAAATATTGGCTAAAAAATAGAAGCATACATTCCACGAGTGTTTCCAGAGCCTGAAATATGATGGCTTCTTAAAATATCTTTGTCTGTGCGGAGTAATGAGCAGAACATACGTGATGGAGCACATGAAACGCCTAACCTCTTGCTAGCATGTATTTTTGGCACAAAGGCAGATGAGCTGGTGAGTGACGCACACTGGAGCTAATAGCTGAAGACGTCTTTGATTAGAAGAGCTCAGACACCAGAGCGCGAGAGAGGGGCTACAGACGAGAGCGGCCCAACGGTGCTCACAAAACACTTACCGCAATGACATGTCTCTTTGTCTCTTTGGAAATGTGTAGAGCTGTTTGAGTTTTAGAAGCAGATCAGAGCTTCATTTTCAGTTTGTGAGGTGGTAAGTTGCTATCTAGTATTATCACCCATCCAGTCAAATGAAGCTCACTAGACTGGCAGTTATAGGAGCAAATTTGGAGCTGAGTTCCAGATTAGGAGTAAGAATTGATTTGTGGAGAAAATAGCGAAATAAAAAAACACCAGGATCATCAGAGCGGGTTAATACGAACATTTTAAGACCAAAATGACAAACCTCACATTGCAATGGAGCCGGTGTTCTGTCGAAATGAGCTCCCAGCAGCCTAAAACAACAGTGACGTCTATCAATTCACACTGCCCCATCGAAATAAGCAATGGGGCGATGTTTTTCCATTTACAGTTGTGTAGATCCAATGAAGCCAAACCGTCCTCAATTTGACGACATATTTCTTTGGATTGGAGACGTGGGTTTGATGTTCTTTGTAAACGGTGATCACACTTTATACCTTAGTTATGTACAATCTAAACCCATTTATATGAATTTGCATAGGTATTTCAACAGTCATGTTCTGCTCAAATAGGGCTCCGACTAAAGAGAAACACTAAACACCAGTTTAGCCATTGAATAATGTCCCACTGTAGAATCACCATTATTCACTCATTTAGATGAATTTGTGTAGAAGACTTCATTTCCACAGGCCAATATCTTCTATCAAATAAGACTCCCACTATAGAAGAGAAAGAGACGACTGGAAGCACTGAAATCTTTATATTAAATCAGGGGTGTCCAAACTTTTTTCATCAAGGGCCACATATCTAAACACAGATGAAGCAGAGGGCTGATCGAGGGCTGTAGACTGGAGCTCAATACAGTGAATAATTGAAATATGTGCAGGATTAACATGTTAGTATGAACCATCAGTCTTTATTCATGCTAAAATCCTTAAAACCACACACGAAATATGAAATATAAGCTTTATCAAGGTAGATTCTCCAAAAACTTGCAGTAAAAAAATATTTTTTAATTGATGCAAGGTCATTTGGACCAATTCACCTGGAAGCTTGAGGGCCAAGAAAAATTTGTCTGAGGGACACATTTGGCCCCCGGGCCATAGTTTGGACATGCCTGGATTAAATAGTGTTAAATATATAATATTTAGGCTACCGTGTGAATTTCCTATGATAATAAAGTGATATTCTATTTATACAAGGCCTTTCTAAACAAAGTTACAATGTAACATAATAGAATGTTTTTACCTCCTTTTCAGCTCTGTTGACGCTGCAAAATTACAACTCCAACCTATTTTGAGCAGCTCGTAGTGTAATGACGCCCACTGGATGCACATATTTATTATTAAACTGTCTGACCGGTTAAATTGGGGGTAATTGTGCATCTCTAAATCTCTGGTCTATATAAATCTTTAAATCTCAAAACACTGTGTTCCACCTTGTGATGTAAAGAAGGGGTAGTTTTAAAGTGAACAGCTCCTTTTACCTTTAGATCAATAAAGATTGGCAATTCCAAGACTGAAATAATTCAAATGATTCTAGAGAAGGTGTGTGGAGTTTAAAGACACAGTGGAGCATCATGTATCACCACATGACATCACAAGGTGGAACAGAGTGTTTTCTGTTAGAGAGAAGAATGAGATATGCAGAGTTTAACTTCAAAGTTAGCTTTATCATCAATTTCTTCACATTTTAGATGTCTGTGATATCATTTATCAAAATACCACAACTGCTCCTCCAACCACTCAGTGTTATCTAGAACATTCTGTGCATGTTTATTCTCCGCTGTCCCTTCAGAACTCTCCACTGTGGGACGCACCAACTGTCCTGCTCACTCTGTCCTCTTGACGTCAACTTCTCTGATTATTATTTAACTTTAAAGGCAACAGTATTTAATTCCATTCAGATCCTCTTACAGTTTACGTCATGCAGATCACATATTTTTTGTTGTCCCAAGAGTCAAAAAGCCAATAGTAAAACACTCATTTAAATATAAAGCTCCCTTTGATTGGAACGATCTTTCCTCATCAATTCAACCATTAACTTCTGTTCCTTCATTTCTGTGGTGCAATATTTACAGAACCTGTGGAATTATTTTTGATCATTTTGTTGAAGTTTGTCATTCATCTTGTTGTATTTTGTTACTATATTTAAACTCTGTCTTAGTTTTTGCTCAAATTTGACTTATTCTGTGCCTAACAATCATGTGTGAGCGTGTGTGAGAGTGTGTGTGTGTATGGTTGTGTTGATTTTGTTTAGTTTTTTCTATGTTTATTTGAATGTATGTATCCGACTGTCTGCCCTACTTTCTCTGTCTTCTGTTGTAACAATGAGGACCCCCTCGAAAACGAGACGGCGAGACATCTCAAGGGGCTCATCATCCAAACAAATAAATTCAATGTACTAGACATACAAAGGAATCGAAATTACGTTTCTCTCTATCCCATGCGTGGACGAGCCAGGACAAACATTAAACTGCACAGACACAATAAATATCATCTCTAACTCAATAAATTAAACTAAAAACACAGTTCAAATCAGATCAAGTATTAAGAAAGTTACAACAAAGATCAGAAAATAACAATATGGGTTCTTTAACTCTTTCCCCCCTGGACGCCTACTAGGAACAACCCATACATATGTTACTGGGGCTGCCCATAGAGCATAATTGCATAAAAGAAAACAGACTTCCACGAGTGATTTCAGGGCAATTTTGGTTCATAATCGAGTATAAAGCCCGGATAGTTTGTTCGGATATCGCAGGACTCCACACAGACGCATCAGCGGCATTCTCATCTTCGTAAGATTCACTCTCTGTAAATCCATCGCTATCACTGTTTTCCACTTTATAATCACCCTCATCATCACTTTGAAATCTATAAAAGTCACTTTCTCTAAACTTATCCATAAAATACGTCCGCTCCTCATTATTTCTAAAACTGTGCGCCGCAGCGCCATGATCTTTCCATTGCACGTGTTTCGTGTTGTGTTTTTTCCGGAAGCTACCATCGTCACTACTTCGATTAACTTCGGAAAAAATCTGCGAAAACATATCCTTGAATCCTAATGGTCAGTCTAGTGTGAGTTGTAGTGGCCCTGACCTATCGCAGTCTCTGTTTAAATGTGAAAAACCGAGCCATTTCTCGAGGTCGTCAAATCACGTCTTTAGTGATACAGTGGAGGAGTCAAAAGTCGTCATTAAGGATACGGGGGGGTCATCAAATGTCGTCTTCATGGGGGAAAGAGTTAATGGTGACTGTCAAGACCATTTTGTATTTGTCTCCTTTAAAATGCACATTAAAGCCAGAGTGAGTTTTGCCAAAGAAATACTAAAACAAGCACAATCAGAGACATCAACCTGGTCCCCATGAGGCGTCGGTGGGTCAGTTCATCACCACAGAAGCAGTTTATGAGGAGCCCAGTCCATATTACATGATCATTATATCCACAATGTAATGTGTGTATCTGTACAGGCCCATGAACATTTGTGTGATATTGGTCACACATGAGAATGTTTGTGTTTACTAGTGTGGAACCAAAATGTCATTTTTCATGAGTTGTGTGTGTGTTAGTTGTGTGACTGTAGATCAGTGTGTGTGTATCTCTGAAAAACAAGAAATGGAAATTATTTTTGTTCCAATTAGAATTTTAACAGTTAAACTGAAAGAGAAAGGAACTGTTATAATTATATATAATTAATTATAATAATATAATTATAATTAGTGATTATCTGGAAAACTATGAATATTTGACAATACAAATGCATAGAATTATAAATAGATAATAATTTTTCTGAGATTTTGAGACACTCCTGTTGCTCGAGCTCCATCCTTCACCGAGTTATGATCACACATATTTGACCTTGGTTACCTTGACCTTCAAGTGACCTTGACCGGTTTCAACCTGTAACATCCAGTGTACCCCGGTTATGTGTGTGCCAACTGATGATTGATTGATGATTGGGTGAATATTTTAGGCCACAGATGGTTCAGAAATTGTCAAAATTGCTTTCCTTTATAATGACGTGACCTCTCAATTAACCCGTGTTACGACCCAGTTCGCTCGGGGTGAGGGAAGTAACAAAATATCCAAGATGGTAAGGGAGTAAAACTAAAGTTGTGATTTATTTAAAAGAATTGTAAAAGGTAAAACTAACAAAAGATGACTATTTAACAAAAGTGGCTCTAACCAGAATAACAAAAATTTTACTATGTAATGCATGTAACTAAACGTAGACTAACAAAAACAGACTACAGAAAATGACAACAGAAAAACAAAACCAGTCTCAACTAAGTCACAAGGACTACTCGTGTCTCAAACACACTACAACACGAGAGACACAACAAACGTGACAGGCAGTCCACAGACAGAACAGCTGTCCTGAGTGGCAGGTCCTTTTATAGAGCTGGTGCTGCAGGTGTTGGCCCAGGATTGGCCAGGTGATACTATATATAACTATATATATATATATATATATATATATATATATATATATATATATATATATATATATATATATATATATATATATATATATATATAATATATATATATATATATATATATATATATATATATATATATATATATATATATATATAATATATATATATATATATATATATATATATATATATATATATATATATATATATATATATTATATATATATTATATACATATATACATATATATACACACTGGAGGCCAGTGGCCATAACACCCGTGTGACCTCAAATGACCTTGGATCGTCACCAAACTTATTTTTTGCGGGATCAGGCACAGGGGCTTGACCCACTGTTACGACCCCCGTTTGGGGTGAGGGAAGTAACAAAAATAAAACCAAGATGTAAAATGGAATAAATTAAGTAATGTTTAATTAACAGGAATGTAAAGGTAAATTAACAAAACACAAAAAATATACAGAAAACTACCTAAACTAAGAAACAGAACAACAGAATAAACAGAGTTTTGTGCCAGAAAAGGGGTCACGCAGGCTTACACAAAAACGAGTGGTAAAACTTAGGGACACACACTAAACTAAAACACAAGTTCCCCAAATTAAACCACATAAACCCACAAACAGAATCGAGTGACCAAATCAAAAAAGGCACAAAACAGAACTAGACTAACACACAAACACAAAACCAAAATGGCATACTGGCCACCAAGGCCAGCAGCCCCGAACAGGTGCTGGCAATCTCCTTAAATAGGGGGAGGAGGCTGCAGGTGAGCTGGGCGTCGACTTGCCCCACCAATTACAGACCAGGACTCCTGCAGCAGGAATCAAGAGAACTCTACAGAAATATTACAACTAAGACCTGGGGCCGTAACACCCACGTACCACATTTGGTGACAATCGGTCCATAAATGGCGGAATTATCATGGGTGGACACACAGACACACAGACACACAGACACACAGACACACAGACACACAGACACACACAGACACACACAGGCACACACACACAGACACAGACACACACAGGCACACACACACAGACACAGACACACACAGGCACACACACACAGACACAGACACACACACACACACACACACAGGCACACACAGACACACACACACAGGCACACACACACCCACAGACAGACAGACAGATACACACAGACACACACACACGCACACAGGGTGAATACAAAACCTGGTCAACCCTTCGGGGACCAGGTAATAAAATAAAAGGATGCTGTTTTAATTGCGCTGAAAAACAAAAAACATGTGTCCTAACTGTAAGTGTGCTTGCATCTCCACAAACCTGACTCTTACTTGGGCCTCCTGCTTGTTTCCATGGATATGTTCATTTATCTTCCACAGTATGGCATAAAACACGTCCACGAAGAATGTTCCGAAGTATGGCTTTAACTTTCTATTTCCATGGAATCAAACAGGTGACTTTCCTCCTCCAGAACTTATTCATCTACTTATCTACTTATCACTTTAACAGGTACAAGATGGGGATTTTTAATATTTAATTTCATCAAAAAATTACCCTGAAAAAAGCCAGCATGAAATATTAAACACACCTAAAATCGTAAAATGAGAAATCAAACAGACGTCCACACCTGAGTTCATCTTTGGGACTTACAACACCATTCTTGTTTTTAGGAAAGCATCGAAATTGTACCAGTATTTTTTATATGTCTGCTGTGTTTTGTTCCAGTGGTGTCGAAAGGGCCCTCACTGCCCCGGGACGCAGAGGCAGAAGCGGCCCCCAGCCCCCCCTCGGAGCCCCCTCGGACCTGCCCTCGGACCCCCCCGGATCCCCTGAGCCTGTGGACCCCGATAACCCCAAAGCCAAGAGCTCCAGGAGGAAAGCCAAAGCAGAGGAGGCCAACTAGAGTCGGCGCACACAGAGCCCGCGTGCAGCTTGTGTTCATAATGTAAGATCGGATTGTTGAATATTTTTCGCTTCAACTCTGTACAAAAGAATATCGAGTCAAAATCACTGCTGTCCCGCTGAGCCACTGCCGCCCCCTTTATTTCTAAAAGATGTCAAATGACCGTGCTTTCTTTGTGCTGGTAGTTAAGCTTGACGTCAGAAAAACATATCGGAACTAGTAAAATCTTGTTTAAAGACGGGGTATTTTGCACGTTTTGGAGCTTTCTG